CCCACCGCGGGTTATCAAAACTCGATTTTTGGTGCTATAAGCCTTCAGATTTACCACTGAGCCACCGGGGGGGGGGCACATTTGAATGGTCCCCAAACAAAGAAAATTTGATTCTGTGTTATTCACCCCACAAATAACAGCAGGTACCTACGTTTATGTACATTAATTAAACACAGAAAAACAAAAAATGCAAGCAAAAAAGAACACCTCAATTTTGAAGTAATGTTCTTTATTTCATTTTTTTCTTGTTTACAATTTTGAAGTAACGTTCTTTATTTTGTTTTTCTATTGTTTACAATTTTGAAGTAAAGTTCCTTATTTCGTTTTTTCTTGTTTACAATATTGAAGTAACGTTCTTTATTTCGTTTTTTTCTTGTTTACAATTTTGAAGTAACGTTCTTTATTTCGTTTTTTTTATTGTTCATATCGTTAGCGCTTTTAGTTCTTTGGATGCTCTCCAATCAGTATTTGTTTTCAGACAAAAGTCTAGTCCTACAATACATTCCTGATAAAGCAGACAGTTTGAACAAAAGAACGGGATGAACAAGCCGAATGCTAACACTAACAGACCTAACTTGCTCCGATTACTAACATTTCCAGCATTATAAAAACATGAGTAACTCTATACGTTCAGTTTAACTGTTTCGTGTGTGTGTATATGTACATATATATATATATATATATAGAGAGAGAGAGATGGTCATTCAATAGGTAACTTAATTCAGGCTATTTACGGGATTTCAGTCGTGCTTAGATCTAGGACAGAATTTCTTTAAGATTCGATAAGAATATATAAACTAACAGAGAGCTTGCATAGAGGATTCCGAGGCAGTTAATGTGCTTGGAATTTAAAGATTTTTTAGAAAACTAACACTCTACCATTGTATTGAATTTCGGCGAAGTTTTCTTACCACGCATCGATTTATTTCAAAATGTATAGATACATTAGAATTATATAGTAACGTTCAGTAACTTATCGCCCGCTTTGACCCAGATATTTCCTTTCTTTTCAACAACATTCAACTTCTGATCAAAAATATAGATAAAAAATAAACATCAGTTATCAAAATGAAGCCAATCCTATAAACAAATGAACTAGAAATACTTAATGCCGTCTACAAATACACAGTAATTATTAGATAGGTAGCATCGCTGTGTGGAATGTGAAACAAGCCAGTTTTCTTTTTATACAAGCGTTGAATGTATAGTGTACAGATAATGGCTTTGGAATGCGGTGACCTTATTCTTGTGCTAGTCACACATTGACAAAGGCCATTTCCCTCTGTAGTTTTTCTGGACTTTTCCTCGGAAGGTAATGTTAGAGAAATCTTTAGAATTATGCTAATATATTCGCTAGTAACACTGATCATGTAGATGTTTAGGAATATATAAACACTGTATTCACTATTTTGTTAATTAAATGACCGAACAAAGTTGGCAACAGATATACTCTAGGAGAGTTAACCTTATTTTTTTAAGTATATAGTGATTGATTTCCTCATTCTTATCCAGATCTTTCTCTCCAATTGTTTGTTTATGAATTTCGCGCCAAGCTACACGAGGGCTATCTGCGCTAGCCGTCCCTAATTTAGCAGTGTAAGACTAGAGGGAAGGCAGCTAGTCATCACCACCCACCGCC